TGAACCGTCTATGCGTTTGCTCCCTATCTCATAATAAATTAATAAAATGATATTTTTTTATGTCAAAGGAGGTGGCTGGCTTACTTAACGTTAAGTGATATCCACCGCCCATTGACATGTGAAACTCTGACTACCTTAAAATGTTAACTATGCCTCCATTTTTTTAACCCTGTGTTTAAATTATGTAACACCATATTTAAATCGACTTTTAAATAATTTTTTGGCAACTCAAATGACATTTGAAAAGCAATTTGACAGCTGATTAATTAACATCTTCGATGGTCAGCTTTTCAGAAATCGGGTGTTAGACTTTCGCATGTCTTGAAAACTTGAATAATTTTTATTCACTGATCCCATCGCGAATTGGGAACAATAATCATTTCAGATTTTCAAGAAAGTCTTGAAATACTTTTATAATGTCCACCTTTTTAAATTACATAATGGTTGTATATGCGATCATCATTCGTCTGAGTTTTTTTGTATCAATCAATGAACGTCCATTTAGACTGGAATCTTCGCTCCATAAATTCTCCGTTACTTTATTCCGCAGATAATTAATATGATTTATATATATTTTCTTTTCTCGTGCGTTGTTTAATTTGACTTTCAGATGGTTGATTTGTTAGGCTATCAATATTTATAGACGATACTTATTAGCTTTCACTTTAATGTGTTGTTAAAGCGACTACTACAATTAGTAGAAGTACTTAATGGTGGACAAATTAACGGGGAAGTATTATTAAACTACAGTATACTTATTAAACGGCATTGCTTACTATGCCCTTAAAAAAAAGTGTGATATGCATTATGCTGTTGGGGTTACATTTACGAAAATACTCGAATTCGTAAGTTCATTTATACGCGTTTTGTCTTAATATTAGCATTTTTTCTGACGGACATTTCTGACATTTGGCGACCCGATTGGCGTGGGTCTAGTTCATAACATCTGTTTCTCGGCGTAGTACGATGAACAGTAAAGTTATTGTCTTCGAAAATTTAAAAATGTGGAGCATGCGCAATTCATAGGTGAGTAAGGACAAAACTTTATTCACCTATTAACTACTAGCTTGACTCCTATTTGTATTTTTACCAGCAAAAGGATTCAGTTTAAAGGCAACAGATTTCCTGTTGCATCTCGTTTTTTTTTGCATGGAGCATGGTCTATATTCTTTTAATTAATGCGCTCTTTCAGTAGATTGTGTATGCGGTGCAGGCTACGCGTCGGCCCGAGAGGCGCGGCTTTCTAAAGACGAGTGGGCAGCCATTGTAATGGACCCCGAATCTACGTGTTAAGAGAAATTACAAAGGAAAGTGTTGAAGCATTTCGTTTGTGCCATTGGAGATAACTAGCATATTATCAAAGTAAATAAATTAACAATTTCGTAATCATTTTTAAACAACGTTCTCCAGTCCCAAACTAAGCAACGCTTGTACTATGGGTACTAGAAAACTGATAGACATACTTAAACATTACATTACTTTTCTTTTGTAAATAAATACATATTATACATATATAAACACCCAGACACTAGAAAAACACTATGTTCATCACACAATATTTTTCCAGTAGTGAGGATCGAACCCACAACCTCTGGCTCTGGAAGCTGGTACAGTACCCACTACGCCATTCGGGTCGTCAGTTTGCATAGTGGTTTTGTTAATATTCAACGCAGCAGGCCTCCTGTTAAAGCGGGTCTGTGTCGTGTCTGTCGGCTCGCCCGGTCGATTGGTATTCAGGGGAGGTTAGTCGGACCCACATCTTCGCCCGCCGGAAGCGCCGCCGCGGCCATACCGGATTCAACGACCGCTTTCCGGGTCGCTGTGGGCGCGACGCGGGCCGCGAGTGAACTATCGTGGCAAGCCTGTAGTCATTGAAACCGTGTCCAAGGGCACAGAGAATTGAGTGACGTGTATTACTTTTAAATCATTGCCCTTACTTTAGGATAACATTATCCTGTCTTGTAAGGACGTTTTACGAACATAAATTTCACGTGGACAAACACCCAGACGCGAAACAATTATCTGTAGATCACAAAAATAGTTGTCCCGTGTTGAATTCGAACCCACAACCCACGACGCTGAAGCCAATACCTTGGCAACTGCGCTACGTTTTATTCTATTACTAAGAAACTCTCCCTCCGTTTTTCGGCATGAAGCTGTGCTGTCACTCACACAATGAAATTATACGGATTTACGATAACTTTACTATATGTATTGTTACGTTTTAGTTTGTTAACGTTTATTTTTGTGTTTAGTATACAGAAGTTAATACATATCACATTTAATCGGGTAATAATCGGGACTCGTCAGCTTTTCAATTATATTATAGGCAGTGGCTGATTACTGTCACTGGCTTGGCGCGTTGATTTGGATATTATCTATACTAATAAATGGAGAGCCAGTTTTTATGTTCAGTTAAAACTACTGAACCGATCGCTATAATACTTTTATCATAAAATGCAGCGTGTATCGGAGAAGGTTTTAGTATATAATATTACGTCGGTGATTGCTTAAACGGAACCTATATTTTTTGGCTTAAAGAAGATTGTATGACTCAGCAAAGCAGGTCGTTTACAGCTTGTTAATCATAAGACAACAAGGTCATCTGGTGGGAATCCCATCATCCCGCGTTTACGCTCTCCGAATATTAATTAAATAACAAAATAATTTTATTAGTGTTATGTTCTAAAACCACCATTGAAACTCTCCTTAGTCCAGTTTAGGTTTAACTTAGGAGCAGACAGTACTTGGAGATTTATTATTTAATTATAACAAAAGATGGTTAGGTTAGGTTAGCCGGTCATAGAATTTTAAACTAAGACAGATTAAATTTTCTGTCGACTCTAGGAGGCGAAAGTAAATCCTAGGGCGCACCGGAATCCAAAACCTCAACTATAACATTGGTAGCCCAACACCCTAACCACTGGGACGTCAGGAAAAGGCCTTGAGAACTAAATACTTTCGTTTCACTTTCAAGACCACATGTCAATCTCGCTGTAGGTATCGTACGAAAACTCGCAACGAGAGTTAATTGCCGCGCGTCGCGTGCCGCACTTGCGTTGCGGCGCGGCGTTGTCAAAAGTAAAATCACACACCGCCATTCCTCATCTGACGCTTCGCTTTCTGCAATTAAGAAACGCTGTGGCCGCTTCGAAGATTAATTTAATTATATAACCAAAAGAGCCTTGATAGCTCAGTGTCCGGGCGCTCGCCTTTAATTCTATATACTCGGGCAACCTGAGTTCGTTCCCCGGTGCCGGCACCCATGAAATTGTTAATTTTAAGTGCTGACTTTGTCAATTGCTCAACGGTTAAGGAAAACATCGTGAGGAAACCGGCATATTTTCGGAATAATAACGAAAACAGTATTTCGAAGATATGTGAACTTTGCTAATCCCCAGTGGGGCTGCGTGGTGGTGGACTATGATATCCTCTGTATAAGAGGAGGCCTGTGAGCAGTGGGATATGTATAGGCTGTTACTTTAATTTACTATATAACCAATGATATTATATAAATTATACAAATACGAGATAGATAGAACACTATCGCACCTAAAGTAAGGCACTGAAATTGCGCCATTTGGTGTAATTAGATTGCAATTCTATTGATTGCAATCTCTTTCCGTATCATAAGTTCTATATCATCTGTCAACTTCACTTATATATTTTATATAATGTAAAGCGGAAAAGGTTTTTAACGCCGCGCATTAAGGACATGAGTCATCTTTATGAAACCATCAGCACTACATAGTATAAAAGTCGTCCTGCTGTCTGTCTGTCCCTATGTATATACGCAACGGAACTTGATGCGGTTTTTTTACTAGATAGTGATTCAAGAGGAAGGTTTATTATGCATAATACATTGCACCGGTGCGAAGCCGGTGCGAGTCGCTAGTTGTATGCCATTATGTTCGGAGCGAGTTCGTTCTGATATGCCCGTTTGTTACAAACAATAACATTTTGGAGATACTAACCTGCGTAAATCGTGGTAATATTTTAATGTATATGTCAAAAGTATATCACCGATAAAGAACAAGCAGAAGTGCTGCAAATGACATGATCTGTTGCCACTTGATGGAAAATATTAGTAAGAACTTGTGTTTGAGTGCTATCTGCTTTTTATGGCAAAAACTAATGTCTTGAAGTAACGCTTCGTCTATCTTTTCGAATTTTCCTATAACGTAAACAATAATTTTAAAATAGTAACGTCTGACGGATAGCGCGATAGCTCAGTGTCCGGGTGATTTCTTTCAATTCAATGTACTCGAGCAACCGGAGTTCAAATCCTGATGTTGGCAATAATGTTAACTTTGAGTGCCGACTTACACCAGATAAGGTCAGCGAGCAAGGAAAACATACTGCATATTTTTGCTATAATAACACACAGTGTGGTCGCGTGGTGGACTATGCCGTCAACCAAAGGAAACCTTTTCCTAGCCGTGGGATATTTGGCTGTTACTTTAAGGATAGCGTGCCTGTTGGCAGCATTAGAAGATAGTATATAAGTAACTAATCCATGTATTGATACTAGCGAATCGCAAAAAGCTTTATAGAAACAGCCTTTTGTTATATAATATCATTATTTCTATTTATAATTTACTTAAAATGTATTTAAAGTGACTAAAAGGATAAATCTATGTCAATGAAACAACTGCTTTTGGGTGTGTGTGTGTGTGTAGACATTAGCATTAGACAGACGTCTAATGCTACGTTGCAATCGTTGTTTTACATTTAGTTTCATTTCTCAGAAGTCATGGTGAAAATTTTATTATTGTTTAATTGTTATTAAATATCATGCTATCGATTAATTTCTTCATGCCTAGTATATACATACGACGTGTTTTATCAATTGTTACTTTTGTTCTGTTACGAACACCGATCGTTTCAGTATCGATAATTTGTTGGTAAACTATTTCGATACGATGTTGCGTCCAGGACAGTATGTACGGTATAAAATAAGGCAAAGGTTCATCATTTGACAAGTCGAATACGGAACACCAATGGCGGCGTGTATTGGAATAGCCGTCCTTCTATTGGCGGCTGTAGTAAGTGATTTTTAAATTACTACAAAATTGCTTTATATTTAAATATCGCGCCAATTGTTTTTATTTTTAAATTTTTACTTGCAGAACACATCAAACGGCCAGTACTATGCCTTGTCGCCGTGCCCGTCCCAACTGATGGTGGCGCCACCAGCGCCCGCGTGACCTCCCACCAACGCCACTTCCCTGCGGCTGTCCTGGGCTGCCATACGGCTGCCCGTCGACAGCGGTGAGCCCCATTTACGTGACCCTCCCCGCACCACCACCCATGTACGTCACACCGCCCGCCCTGCCTCCGATGTATATCGAACTGCCCATGCCGCCCCCGATCACTGTATCGCCTCCGCCTTCTCCCCCGATGTGCATAACTCCGCCACCGCTGCCGCCCATGACGATCGCTCTACCACCGCCGCCTCCGATGACAGTCTCGCCGCCCCCTCCCCCTCCGATGTGCGTCTCACCACCACCGCTACCGCCGATGAGCGTCAGCCCTCCGATGCCGCCGCCTTTGATTCTGGAGCTGCCGTTGCCGCCTCCGATTGTGATCGAGCTGCCGGCGCCCCCACCGATCGTGGTTCAGCCGCCGCCCCTGCCCAGAGTGATGATTCAGCCGCCTCCGCTGCCGCCGATGTCCGTGCAGCCGCCGTGCCCGCCGCCTATGATGGTGCAGCCGCCCCCACCGCCTCCGATGTGCATTCAGCCACCAGCACCGGGTCCCATCACCGTTCAACCACCGTGCCCAGAGCCGATGTTCGTCCAGCCACCACCGCCATGCCCCATCAGCGTTCAGCCACCTCCCCTACCGCCGATCTGTGTGCAACCACCGCCTCCGCCCACTATGTGCATCCAGCCACCTGCTCCTGAACCCTTCTGCATCCAACCCCCAGCCCCATCACCAGTGTGCTTCCAACCACCACCCCCTCCCCCGATATGCTGTGTAGCCTCACCTCCGGCCTGCGATTGCTTGCCACCATGCTCCCTACTGTCAACAGCCTTACCATCACCTATATATTTATGATACGAACATAGTTTAACTGTTAAATATTATTTAAGTAATGTATTGAGATCGAAAAATAATAAATTGTTATAAAAATATTCGCTGTTTAATTTATTCGATTGGTTTTTGCTATTGAACAACTTCCCATTTTAAGCTTCCTTCAGTCTAATTAAAATTAACTGCATCATTAGCCACCGGGAAATCGATTTCGACTTTCCCTAAGCTAGATGCTATGATATTATTGCCTTCCCTATGACTTTGTATTAAGTAAAGTGTTAGTTCTTTTAATGCAGTTTTATTTCTGGAAGCTATTATTATTGCAAGTAATATATTTTTTGTGTCGTATAAAATCGAATTTGCATTTACTCGCAAGTGTTATTTGGATATTTAGCATTTATTTATGAATCCTAGATACACTTATTTTCATTTACCGCAGAGATTTTTGCCAGTTATACTCTTAAAAAGTTTAAATTAATCAAGGTGAAGTACGAGTACATGTGACTGTTGACAAGAAACAAGAAATTGTGTACTTTCCGTTTCCCTTTAAGTGTTGTTCAACAATCGCCGTAATAATCTTCCGTGTTGATGAATTCAACACACAGTGGTTATATCATTCAACAAACATCCATTGTTAATTATACTTACTTGTGCTTTAGAAAAAAACTAAAACTGCTACTTTACTGCTAACGAAAGGTAAAAAACATTTTATATTTTGTGTGTGTATCGAGGAAAAATATTAAAATGGATAGACGCAATGTTTATCGTTTATGTATGTTTCATCGTCTTGTTTCGATAAATAAATAAATAAATGATTTGATTTGATGATTATTTGATTCTAATTGGTATCTTAGTTTTAAGATATGATTAACATCAGCTATAAATGTTTCAACTAGAAAAATTGGGCGCTTCTTTAAGTATCCAAGGTCGTATCGGCAGGTCGATTTTGCTTATCGCATTTAGTACGGCAAAGTTAATTATGGCTGTGTTATTTATGATAATTTAAGTATTTTCATGGGTTATTTCGAAGCAATTCGATGCAAAATTATCTTACAACTTACTTCATTATTGTTTTTTGAATATAAGTAAAATATGGTCTGTTCATTACATATCTCTGTTGTTATGTTAATAGTTGGCAGTGTGCAACACCTGATGGGTTACAAATACGTTGCCAACATTATAAAAGTGGGCCCGGGTAACCGCACACACCAGACGAAACACGAAAGAATAATACTTCTACTCAACGCCAGTCTTGTACGGCCGTGGTACTTGCCCGGTCTATCCTACCCATTCGTGCAACAGCTGAAGCTGTTGCGTCGCCCTACCACAGTACTTATATATTATTATTTCTTAATCTCTTAACATTCAGGTGACTTTGAACACTGACCACATGGTAGATTAAAAAAATTAATAGGATTCGAACTCGGATTGTACAAATTACTTTACTTAAAGCGACCACTAAGCTGCTACGATATGTGTGCTTAAATTGTTTTATTAAACACTAGCTGTGCCCGCGACTTCGTCCGCGTGGAATTTAAAATAAAAAAAAATCTAAAATAAAAATAGCCTAAGTTACTCCTTATTAAGTCAGCTATATATATGTCTGTGAAAGTCCCGTCCAAATCGGTCCAGCCGTTTTAGAGATTAGCTAGAACAAACAGACAGACAGACAAAAATTTTAAAAAATGTTATTTTGATATATGTACCGTGTATACATCCATATGCATTTAGTAAAAAACGGTTACTTTAATACTACAAACAAACAATCCAATTTTATTTATCTGTATAGATTAAAATTTGTAGAAAAAGTAGGAAAAGATTGTCGCCGCTGCCAACGTTTTCGTACTTTTTCTACAAATTTTAATGTTCAATCTTAAGTGCAGAGATTAGAACTACAAAAAATTTAAATTTGATTTATTAAAGTTAATTTTTCAACAGCATGGCGGGCTCCGGGGGCCTCGCGGAGTGGTCCGAGGGGGCTGCGGTGTGGTTCCAGCCGGCTGGCGCCCCGGCTCCGTTGCCTGGGGAGCTGGTGGAGGTACACCGGGCGGCGCGGGTGTTGCTAGTGAGCGCCGTCGTCAATGGGCAGGTACGGTAGAAACTTGTCATCACAATAAAAGGACGATAATCTCGCTTTCAGTCCTGGAATATATAGCGTCTTTGGAATGTTATGTTTTAGACATAAGTATGACGTTCTGTTTGTTTTGGGTATACTGTTATTCATTTTTATTGTTTGCCCTTAACAACGGTAACCATACGACATTGACGTGTCAAACCACAACTTCGTTATGTTAATCACGTCTTACTTAAGTTGGACAATACGGGACGGTGATACTGCTCTGCCGCAACACAGTTCTTACTAGCGCGGAGGGTAGTAGTTGTCATTTTTCTGCTGTTGCCACTCACGCTATGAACATATTCTTTCATAATATCGAATGTGTTTATTAGTGCAAAACTTTTCTATACTAGCTTAAACTAAGCTAAATTATCTTAATTGTTATAAGCATTATGCACATATGTCGCAGCAAACAATGTATCTTTTAAAATAAATTATTATTATTATATTAATGTTTGTGAAATCTAGATTTTCAAGTCCTTCAGACACAAATAGAACATATTTGATGTGGTCATTTTCTTACACGTAATGTACCATAGACAACTAAATCACGCCAGAACAGTTCTTTATAAATATTAGTTTGTAATAATATTTCGATTGTTCATTTTTGAGTCATAGTCATTAGCAATTTGTATTATTAAACAATACATAAGAACAAGTGCCAGTTAACTGGAACAGAGTTATCACGTATTTAACGCAGAGAATATTAGTTGGTCTGCGTTACACCCGATTGGGCACGTACTAAAATGTTGTTAGACGATAAGGCCGATGCAAGCATAAATACTTTTTATATAATTCGTATAAATTATCGAGTGTCTGATAGTTGTTACGAAATAATGCAATTCAGCTTTATATATGTCACTGCCTATTAATCGAAGTAATCCGCAAAATTGTTTTTTTTATATTCCTCGTTTTCTTTTGGTGAGGAATATTTGTGTAATTCAAATGTTTTATATAAAGTTTTTATAGTGCTAGGCTCTGCACTTAAGATGAAAAATTAAAGAGAATACTGCCGCTGTGGGAATCGAACCTACGTGTTCCAGATTCGCGGCCAGACGCTTTAACCACTAAACTAAACGAGAGATTAGAACTATAAAAGCTATATAAAAATATTTTAAATAGCAATGGAGATATCTCTCGTTCAAATTATCATTCTAAAAAATATTTTTTGTATGCAGAAAATGACATAACAATATAATATGTATGTGCCAAGCATTGCTTAAGAATGCGACAGAACAATGTAGATTAAATTCAAATTTTTCGTCACTGTGACATTCTACCGTTTGTGGTTAAAGCGTTTGGGGCCGAAAGAAGTGGGTTCAATTCCCGCAGAGGCGAAAAAGTTTTCGTCCATTTTTCTACAAATCGTCAAATTCGTGAATTTCTCGCTCACTGAAACGCTATTGGTCACTGTAATATATGTATTGTTCGTGTCGGTAGAATATTATAATATTGTCGGCATGTACCCTCGTTTAATGGATCAAACAGATCAGTTTTAATATATGCTCCCGAATCCCTAAAATAGTGACGGACATACAGTCACGCAATTGGAGACGCTCAACGTCATTGCTGTTTTGTAACAGATAAACACCCACCTCGTGAACAATTACCTAAAGATTCGCAAATCATGAGGCGTGATATATGCTGACAAAGTTAGTCTGCATATTTCTACGCTGGCAGTTCTCATTATAGAAAAAATACAGAAAAAAAAATGATGAAAATGTCAGATGGTAGGTACGGTATTAATGTACACCCGCTGGATAATAAAACATTTTTAAGTGGTGTGTTTAATTTCATTTAACATGATCAAAACATAGTCTCTTATAAAAGTAACAAAATACCGGTAACCTTTAAAAGTAAAAACAAAATATTTGAAAGAGTAAATTGAAAGTTGTAATTTGTGAGACATCGTTAAGATGTTTATCGAGTTTATATTTTAACCTTTTTATTATTTCGAACCTTTAATATACTTTCAGGGGACTGATAAATACTATAATAAAATTTTAGTATGTGAGAATGTTGACATGCGAGATTATGGTTATAAATATGAATCATGTCTCTAAATGTCATCGTATATTTATAAACCATAGCATAGAATATCGTTAACTCTTGTGCAATCGATATCTGTCATGGAAATAAATAAATTCAGATTAGAAACAACATCTTTAATTGCAAATATTGGCCTCATTTACTAATTCCTATTTAATTCGGTCCGTTCTGGCGGTCATAATATTATTACGACTGATGAGGCATAGCCGCCATACTGTTTTTAATCGTTGCTCTAATTGCGATAACATTAGGTAATCGACATAATGTAGTATAAATGACAATTTCTGTATGTAGATAGCATTGATACCGGTAAGCAACATTGCAAAGTCGTGTGCAGCGATCTATTTCGCATTTTAATATCTGTTTATAAGCGGACTAATAATAACTGTGCATTGATCCGTGATAACCTTATCATGTTAAGCAATAGTCAACGGATTTACCAATTTCCCTTAATAACATTGTTACGCAATGGTAGTCCCGTTATATGATATATCTTATATATATATATATATATATATATATATATAGGAATATGTGGTCATGACCCCATTCAAAATACTGATGTTGGTAACATTTAAAGAACCGGACTATGCACAAATGAATAATTATTGAGTCGTGATATTTGCCACGCAATTGTACTAATTTTTTTTATTTTACATAATGTGTAGATGTAGGTATATTTTTCAGTTGATCAAATCTGATTAATCGCTCCTATACTACTTATCAAACGAAGAGATAATATCTGGTACCACTGGACTTATTTCAAAAATTCTTTCACTGTTGTCAAGGTAGCGTTGTGACAATCAATAAGTAAGTGTAATGCTTCTATATTGAAAAAAGATATTTGAATTTGGTAGTCTCTAATGTAAAAATTATGCGGCCGTCACTACAACTCGAGGAAACTACTATGAAAACTACATACGATCGAAATAGAATCTTCCATAAACTTCATTGTATCGCCCTCCAGTAATTTTTCTATTGTCAAATTTGAACGCACACAACGCCCTTTATTTATACTTAGGTAGTAATAATGATGGATTCTATAAACTTGCGCAGAAATAAAAGTGCTGGCGACTCTCTATCGACATTCCTCGGACACGGCACCGCGATCTGAGAGTGCATGCCTTTTCTCGTAGTGACGGTATTTGTGACAGTTTCTAGCGCACCGCTGTAATTATATGTTCCGATCTGCGGAGCTATTAATTGGTCCTCGAGCAACACTATTGACGTGCGCTTTTTTTTGTTCTCAATTCAATTTTCGAATGAACAAATCAAATATAAGACAATAGTTATTTTAATGCTAACGCTAACGCGCGTGAATTTTTTTCTAACTTCAAATGTTAAATCACGATAAGAAATAACAATATTAATATGGGGCGATTATGATGATGACGAGACCATTGAAGCCATTGATGCATTTTCTTTAATTTTTTATTTTTCGTTTCAAATTTCGAATTCAATAAACAAAATCAAAACAGTGCTTTCTTTTTAAATTTTTTACGTCTAAGAACTAATATATTATGGTAACGCCTGTTTATAATTTACAATTTTATAATAGTTAAAATTAGTTTATGTTAACATTATTTATAGACATTATTTATGTTCCTTCTTACGTTAATTATTTTTTAATTTTTTTAAAAACCATTGCGCTTACTTTAGGATAACATATTTATTAGGACGTTCTACAAACATAAATTTCTCTCGGACAAACACCCAGATGAGGACAAATCTCTGTGGGCCACACAAATAGTTCTATAGTAGTAAATTATTTCGTAAACACCATTAAGAAAGTACGTCGTAGATACAATCTAATTCCAGACACATTGTATGTAAAGCGCAGGCAGTAAACTGTCCTATCGCAAAAGCTCCGTTATCAAACATGTTGAGTTCCTAACAGTTCTTGGCAATCGCGTATCTACTGCTACTGTTAAAAGGCCTAGTCAGTTGTTCTCGTTCCGCCAATCTCATCGCGCAGATTGCCAACTAGGTAGTCTAGTTACGCAATAAATAAATTGAATAACTTTGAAAAATTCGCCAACGCGGGAAAGTGGACGAACTCGTGCACGTTTCGCATTATTCATGAAAGTGAACGTAGCGTGATATAATAACGTTTTTAATTAAGTGATGAGCGCAGATTAAACGCTCGTCGTTTATATCAGGACCGGTAGGAATGCAGTCGGTGACGATAAAACTTGAACGGTTCAAAATTTTAACGAAAGTATATTACGTTGATTCTGTTGCCTTTAAATGTTCATAAATATTTAAAAAAAACGTCGACTTGTAGCTAATAAGTATGTTTTATTAATCATCTCTTGTGACTAACATTTATTAGTCGAGAAATTCGTGTATTCGTCATCGTTATGACATTTAAAAAAAGGGTAATACGGATCAATTACGCAAACCTCGTATTTGAATTCAGTAAATAATAGCACAGATACACAAAATTTTACTCCGCTATTCCATAACGAAGTCTATTTAGAATTCCTGCCAGTCGATGCGAGTTCGTTTCGCGCCAACACCGCGCAGCTCGCCGGAAATTTGCGACGCGTGCAATGCCTCATGCACCTCAACAGACTCCCAAGATTATCTATGGGCCCGCCACGATCCCTTCCATAGGCAGAAGATACGGCGCAAGGCTCGTATGCTACCGAAATCCATTCTCAAAGTGACAGTTAAAATAAATATGGCCGACGTAAAAAGAAGAAGGCGAAGGTCATTGACCGTTCCAAAGTTAAAGGAGTTGTGCTTGGATGTGTTGTTGCAAAATGTACGTTAAATTTATTGTTCTATTAATTAATCTTAATTAATAGATATCCTTACAGTTTTTATAGACAAGTTTACATGGTACATTATTATTGTTATTTCAGTGGGTATTGCGATTAATTTCTAGAAGACCTCAGATCTAAATGATCCTAGAGGATCATTTAGAATTTTATAAACATTTTCTAACAAACGGGGCAACAGCTAAATTAGTTTATTATGCTTTTTTTTTTTCACAGTATTATATCAACAATAAAAAAACATACCACATCGCTTCGGGGCCGTGGTGACACACTGGTAATACCGATGTTTAGACTAGCTAAAACCAGGAAATCTTTTCTTGGCAGATGTATTAACTTATATAATAAAATAGGTGACACCCGTAAACAATTAGGTGTAAACAATTTGAAACATTTCGCAAAAGCTACACTAATGGAAAGGGCGTATTATAATCTCGAAAAATACATCGAGGACAAAGATGTGTGGAAATGACTCTTGTTCTGCACTTGCAAGTCCCCTGGCTGCTGCTAATTTTATACTCACATAATTTGTGTACTCAAATAATTAAAAAAAAAAGGTAACAAGACAACAGATCATTTTGCCGGTTCTTCTCTGGACACGTCTAGTTTAGTGAATCTATGGTAGTTTATTGACGTTCAATAAGAGCTCTAAATAAGCCTATATTGAATAAAGATATTTTGGCTTCGACTTTGAATGAGATATGAAAAATACATAAGGCTGGGTTGGAGATTTTTCGAGATCGTTTATCGTCAACACGACGCAGTCATATGCCGTTGATATCGTGCCTGAATAAGTGAGGGTCACTTAACAGTAACGATATAATCAACCTGCTTGGCACATAATCCATTCATTCCACGACAACGTTGCGTGGTCCGCAATTTGTAATGTACCGTAAAACGACCCACCGTATATATTTCATATTCTACTTTTAGAAGCTTCGCAAGTCTTTGGTTCTTGCTTCGTATTAATTATCTTTCGCTTACTGGCGGTTAAATATTTAAATTTAAAAAAATCTTTCGAAAATCGAAACAGCTTTAAGATAAAATATTTCTTGATCGAATGAAGCAGTTTTTTTCACACTTAATATAATACAAACTGTATACAGACATTTTCCCTTTTCGCAACTTTTAAATCTTTCACAACCATTTTTGCTATTTTTAAGTGATTGGTCATTTGATCATTATGTTATAACTTATAAACAAGTGTAAAATCCACCGGATAGCCAATAGAGAGATGAAGAAAAACTTTGCAACAACATTTTGAGCATTCGATGTTACTTATATATCACCTATGAATGCGACAACATCCGAAGTAAAGTGATCACGTCTTCTCAGTTCAGGTCACAGCTGCATGAGCGGCCATTATATTATGTCACAGAGTAGTTGCCTCGGGAACAATTTTCCATCTGACTGCGGTTCTGTGCCGTATCTTGGTTACGTTACCGCGTGCCTAACAAAAGTAAGCCAGTGGGAAATTGCAATGCACGTGACGTAACTGCGTCGAGGAAACGACGCGACCGACCTTGACTTGAGTCATAACCTTTTCTTTAACTTTAACTTAAAAAGGGAACTGTTTCGCAAAGTTACAAATGAAAACTTATAAAATTACTAGCGAACCGGACAGATTTTATCCTGTACACACGTCTTAAATTCGAAAATTTCAAACTTCTCTAAATAACTTTGTGAACGTAAACCATTTACGAATTCACCTGAACACATTAAAAAAATCATTAAAATCGGTTCAGACGATGAGGAGTATATAAAGATTATGAGATGCCAAAAGTGGCAGCATATCAAGGTATATATCATTGCACACAAAAAAATAAGAGTTAATACAATTATAACGTATAAGTAAATGACATTTAATCTAGATTTCCAGTTTATAAAATATGTGAAAGGATATTTAAATCGGTAAACAAGGTACATACATACGAAAACTGTAGTAAAAGAATAAATATAGGTTTGTAATTGTGAGGGGCAACTGAATACGTTTTATTTAAAAAAAAACATCATAAAAGTAACAAAGTACATCAAGTATTAGTTTGGGATACAAACAGCACTAACAAAAAATAATAGATTAGCATAACTAGTTAGACTTGCTAACAAAGTTTTTACCCTTAGCTAATAACTTAAAAATAACTTTAATGTAACATTTATGTAATTGATGTTTTTGCTTCCAGTCCGTAATCTATTAAAGTATCCTCAGACGCAGCTCGAGGAATGTAAAGATTCCGCGATAATGCAATACCACAAAAGCTTCAATAACACCTTATTCAACAATTCCCCATCACGCAGCCCCAGACCTTCGCCCTGCAAATGGGCAATGGCGAGGAGGAAGGCGATCCGGTGTGGCCCCGAGAGGAGTTGGGGCCCACGGGCGTGGAGGACATGACCCGACTCCACGACCTCCACGAGGCCGCCCTGCTCTGGAACCTCAAGTTGAGATACGAACAAGGCCTGATATACACCTACGCAGGGTCCATACTGGTCGCCGTAAACCCCTACAGGCCCGTCGACACCCTGTACGGTCTACAAACTGCCAGGAGGTGAGGCTAACTGTACTTTAATTACATAGTAGTAGGTTGACCTTTAGATGTTTCATCTTATAAACAAGATTTTTCATTGATTGGTATATTAAATATGTCATTATCGACGTGATTCATGCATTACGTGTAAATAGCATAGAAGCGAAGAAGTCCGTTATAAAACAAAACTGAAAGTTGTCCGCTCAGAAAATTGCCATATGTCATTTGAAACATTCTTGGATTAAGTCCAAAACTGATTAGTATGAATGGAAGGTCGTGTTCATTGTATCTATGTCTTGAACAATTATAATGTCGTTAGACATTGACTGCACAGACCTTGACACTTTTAACATGGTCGTGGTATTGTCTGAAAGTTTGCCGTGGGCGCAGTTTTACATCGTCTCATATGTAATCCGTTTATCATAAACTTATATCATAATATTCAAATTTAACTCATTATAAATCACTAAATGCCTCTTGGTTTTTAAGCCTTATTAAGAAATACAATACTCGCACTAGTACGTTTTCTGTTGTTATGTAATCCATTGGAATTAGAAAATTACGACTTCTAAAAATTTATATTAACTGTGGTAGGGCCACGCAACAGTTTTCGCTGTTTGCACGAATGGGTAGATCCGTCCGAGGAAGTACCGCGACCTCACAGAAGACCGGCGTGAAGTAGAAGTATAATACTTCTTCGTTTCTACCGGTGAGTGAGATATTCTGGGGCCACTTTATTAAAAGGTAGCAGGGCGTCTGCAACCCTACGGGTCTTGCAAATTTCCATGGGCGGCGGTTATCACATTAACATCAGGTGAACCGCCACGTCGCTTGCCATATTCTTACATAAAACAATAAAATAAAATGCTCTATAATTATCCTATTACTTTTCAGCCATTAATATTCACCAATGTATTGCAGATACCACGCAGCGGAAGCCTTGGGGGACCTGCCACCGCATCTGTTCGCGATAGCGGCGGCCGCTCGCTCGTCGCTGCCACATCCGCAGGCCATACTGATCTCGGGGGAGTCCGGCGCGGGCAAGACCGAGTCCACAAAACTAGCAGTCCAGTTCCTCGCCGCGGTCGCCCCCGCACCGCCGGGCAGGGCTCCGGTCTCCGAGCAAATCCTGGAGGCGGCGCCGCTGCTAGAGGCATTCGGAAACGCGAGGACGCCAAAAAACCACAACTCTAGTCGATTCGGCAAACTGCTGGAGCTCTACTTCAAGGATGGCGCGCTGGCCGGCGCCAGAGTCGCTCATTACCTCCTCGAGAAGTCGCGAATAGTCACCCAATCGCCGGGCGAGAGGAACTACCACGTGTTCTACGAACTGCTTGCCGGCTTGGACGAGGAGCAGAGGCGCTCGCGCGGTCTTCTTACGGCCGAACACTATTTCTATTTGAATCAGGGGGGGGACGCCGGCGGCGCCGGAGCTGGTGCCGACTGGTCCGCCCTCTGCGGAGCTATGCAGGTGCTGGGCATCGGCGATTCGGAAAGAGAGGATATCATAAGGGTCTTGGCCGCCGTTCTCCATCTCGGCAACGTGTACTTCCATAGAAGACAGTTACGCCACGGACAGGAGGGAGTCCAGTTGGGAGGCGGCGCCGAAGTGCGCTGGGCGGCGCATTTGCTGAAAGTACCCGCTGAGGCGCTAGCCCGCGCTTTGACCACGAGGGTGACGGCCGCGCGGACCGAGCGCATGCGATCTCCCCTTCCAATAGACCAGGCCCTGGACGCGAGGGACGCCTTCGCCAAGGCCCTCTACTCCTCGCTCTTCAACTGGCTCGTCCTCAGAATAAACTCGATAGTGCACCGCGCCGGGCTCCACGACGCCCACCGCATCTCCCTCCTCGACATTTTCGGCTTCGAGGACCTGGAAGAGAACTCCTTCGAGCAGCTCTGCATCAATTACGCGAATGAAACGCTGCAGCATTACTTCAATAAGCACATATTCAAGCTGGAACAGCAGGAGTACCAGAAGGAGCGATTAGAATGGTCGAACTTGACCTGGAATGATAACTCACCAGGCAAGTCATTGCATGGACGTGATCGTATATTTTATTTTGCATATTTCTCAAATTCGTTTCCTTTCACAGTGATCCAACTGCTGAGTAAGAAGCCCGTGGGTATTCTGCACCTTTTGGACGATGAGAGCAACTTCCCCCGAGCCTCAGACGCCTCTTTCCTAGAGAAGTGCCATTACAACCACGCTTTGAACGAGCTATACTCGCGACCAAGACTAGGAGCCAACGAATTTGGGGTAAGTATTCTGGAACCCATGTAGTTTTAGTTTAAACCAATTAAAACAATTGGTAAGTAAAAACTTTCAATATCCCTTTATATAGTGTTTATTCAACTAAATCGTAAGTATTGCTGTTTGTTTTCGTAAACTCAACAAATAATTTTTAAATGTAAGTAGCAGTTATGTTTAAATAAATAAATATTTTCGGTCACATTATTACAATCCGTTCTCGGCCCCACACTCAGCAACGCTTGTATCGGTATTAGAAGACTGATAAACATATTTAATATACATACATTTCTTTTGTAAATAAATACATGTTATACATTCAGCAAACACCGAGAACTGGAAAAACACTATGATCATCACACAATATTCCAGTATGGCGGGCAGGTTCACTATTCCTCACGCCAATAGGGTCGCCCGTTAAATTATATTACTTCCATATCACGATAGTCACTGAGATTTTAGTACATCACCGGATAACCCTGCCGATTCGTGCAACAGCTAAGTTATAAACCCTCCGTTACGGTTAACAGAAGAGGGGGTAATTATATTGACCGACCGCTTCGCAGATAAGGCACTACGCGGGCCAGGTGTGGTACAACGTGGAGGGCTTCCTGGACAAGAACCGGGACGCGCTGCGCGGCGACGTGCTGGAGCTGCTCTGCAGCAGCGAGGTGCCCCTCGTGGCGGAGATGTCCTCGCAGCTGCGCGCGCACCACGACGCCAACAAGACGCTGCCCAGGGGCGCCAACGGCCGCTTCGTCACCATGAAGCCGCGGACGCCGACGGTAGCCGCCAGGTATGCTACGCTTCGTAGACCTACTCAGCTGTAGTAAGGGACGAGTCAAAATTCAGGATACCTACAGCAGCTACCAAGCATGCTACGCGTCGTAGACCGTTCCAGAAGTAGGCAAGCACAAGTTACAGCCCAGGACCCTTACAGCCGATGGCAAGTATGCTACGCGTCCTAGGCCCATGCAACAGAGGCACAAGTCGGTTCTTATCAAAAGTATGTAGAAGGTTAGAGATCTCTGCATATGTATATTCCTTCATAATATTAGCTTCCTCAAACATTAGGCAGTTCATTATTAAGTAGTGGTAATGTGATTTGTGTATTTAAGCCCCACTCGTGGTTAAGACTTTCTTTCTACGCATAACTCTGTTAGAAACTCTGTCTTTAATTTAAGAGCTAGGCTCTTGTCGGTGCAGCATCCCAGCAGCTGTGTAAAACCCTCCAGCCTTCCCTGTTCATAGCCCTACCCTTTACCATACAAATTATTATTAACACAAGGTTTAATAAAAAAAACTAATTGCGTTGTGGGATGTGGCTTAACTAAGACATCCCCCCCAGGTTCTCGGACAGCCTGCAGCAGCTGCTCGAGTCGATGAGCCGCTGCAACCCTTGGTTCGTGCGCTGCATCAAGCCGAACGGCGACAAGTCGCCGATGCGGCTCGAGCTGCCGTGCGTGCTGGCCCAGCTGCGCTACACCGGCATGCTGGACACCATCAGGATGCGGCAGACCGGCTACCCGATACGGATACCGTTCCAGGGCTTCGTGGAGCGCTACCGGTGAGCGGCCCGTTCGCGCTTCCAGCCGACCTCGAAAAAGGAGGAGGCTAAAATTAATATTAACATTTCGTGAGATTGTTTACGTAATAATTAGACGGCCAAGCTCTCGTTAACACGATGCATGTATATTATAAACCGACTCCACAAACGAAGGAGGTTCTCGGTTCGACCGTATTTTTATGTTTGTTACTCCAGAACTTTCGTCTGAGTCAACCGATTCTGATGATTCTTTTTCTTATTCGAAAGCTGCTGGGCTTGGGCTCCGGAGATACTTATGGAACTCCTAAAAATCGATTACAAAATCAACACAGAGCGATATTTAAAGTCGGTTTTGTTTTTCTTTAATAAAAAACGATGTCTAATTTATTCGGTTGAGTAGTAGCCCTAATAACTGCGACGTAGAATATCCATTCTGGTCTACCCTTCGAAGACGTTGCCTACTTATTCTTGTAAAGAAGACTGTCTTTGTCTTATCAGATACTTGCTGAAGTCGAACCCACCTCGAGCTACCCCCTACCGCGAGATATGCAACTCCATACTAGCCGGAATGCCGCCCACAGGAGCCGGTGAGTATTAATCTCAGCCATGTCTGTACCAGTAATTTAACGTAACATTAGAATGTTAAATTAGAACAATAGAATGCTTAAACTTGTGACTTATTTCGACTTGCATATTCAAAAGTGTAGACGATGACAGAAATTCTCATTAATATCAATGTTTATTACGTTCCGATGGTGAGTTTTACCCAAAAATCAAATGTTATCGTTTTGCAATTATTCAATGTATAACTCAACATCATTATAAAATGTACACCAATTAATCACTTTATCGTTTAAATTTGTTAATACTTTCATCTTTAATTATCATATATATAACATACGGGATATTAGTTTACCTATATAAATATATGACTATATACATATATGACTAACTAATGTACTCAATCAAAGTTTGTTTATTTAAGAAAATCAAATCTCTTAAAAAATTAAGATATCCAGTCGGATCATCTAAAAGAAGGTATTTCAAAAAGACGTTACATTTAACCAATAACAGAATCTTAAATAAATATTTAAAAAATACTGTTTAAAAAACGAAATGAGGCCCACAGTAGAAATTAAGATATATGAAACAGTACTAAATGACATAATAACGTTAAAAAACCATTATCAAAATCTGTTAGCGTTTTCCCAATTAGAATAAATGTTTGTAATAATCTCTCGTTACGAAAACTATTAGAAAGCCTCCCAAGGCGCATGATTCAAACCCACACCTACGTGGCCATTGTCAATGGCTCAAGATACATCATTCGACGCATGCATAATTTTGCAGTATATAGGAATACCTGGGGATTTGCATGGGCCGTGCCATGCAAAGTAAAGAAATTATCGATATATCGATATTTATAAAAATATCAATATAAACCTCAATATATCGAAGAAAAAATATCGATATTTTCTTATTAGGCCCTGTTGTAAAAAAAAAACCTATGCCAAATATTAAATATTTCAATGTACGAACCCTGTCCCGGATTCGAATTTGAAAAAAATACCGTTTCGGATACGATTTCGATATTGAATATTTTATATCGATATATCGGATCAAAATATATCGGCTTAAAATATCGATATGTTTGATATAAAATATCGATATTTTTTCGGCATGCCTACCGTGCCATTTGAATAATCCCTATTGGCCGGGTTTTACGTGCATTGTGTTCGCGGTTTAATTTTAGGAGAACTGCGACGGTATGCAGGGTCTGTGCGCCGCTTGGAGATCGCTGTTAAATCGCTGTTAAATATTTATAACTTTGGAGATACCTCCAAAGTTATAAATATTAATACTAGTGTGTTGAATCTGAAAGAGATAGACAGTTTTTTCAACCTTATGGATGGTTCGAAGTTTAGGACATATTAATAAAATTCCAGCATTAACTGACGACTCTGCGTTGAACATCGGTTTCGTCAGTTGATTTTTGTGTCAAAATTACTAATGACATATTTTGTCTAATTTACTCCTTTTTTGTTTTAAGATTCTGTACCCAAACCTCTTTTACAAATAATGGTACGGGGAACCGTTCGTGCGCTAGTCCAACTCGCAGTTGGTCGGTTTTTTATATTAACTTTCCTCATTGATTCTAATAATTCATAAGTAAATTGACGTACAATTAATACAGGAGCTAAAAGCGTTTCAAGTGTTTCAGTCATTTGATTTTTAGTAATGTCACTACTGATACTTAAACACTAATAGACGATTTCGTGAGACCCGGTGATTTTGTCGTCGTACATAGAAGTATCTTAAGAAGAAATTACATAAGTACATAGAAATCTGCAAGAAGAAATTCTAACAAAACCTAAACTTTCCATATTAATAATATGTATATACAACAAACTCCGCTCACGTAAAGTGGAGAAAGCGTAGCACACGTTACGTGTGAAATTACTTTCCGAGAATATGAGATGCGTATGTAGCATAACGTTATTGTTGCTAATAAACTGTTATTACGAAATTATGCATCGCACGCGACTCAATTTTCTAAATAAATATCGATTTTGCAATGCACTTATGTGCTTTGCTGTGTCATTACTTAAAACTCTCGTCAGCAACATTGAATCTTACGCCTAAAGAGGTACCATAGACGTTTAGTCGTCCCATGAGGATTAGTCCTATGCCTAAAGGGTAGCATTGACTACTTATTAACTTACGCCTAAAGGGGTACTATAACCGACTCATATCCTATGCCTAAAGAGTAGCACGGAATACTTTGAACCTTACACTTTAAGAAATAGGTACCTTAGTCGACTCGACCCCTTTGCCTAAAGTGTAGTATAGACGATTTTGAACCTTACGCTTATATGGTTGCGTTCATTTTCAGCTGGCGCAGACTTCCAGTTGGGCGCGGCTCGTGTGTTCGTGCGGGAAGCGCTCCACCGGGCGCTGGAAAGGGCTCGCGCGGACAAACTGCGCGCGGCGGCGACAGTACTCCAAGCGCATTTACGCGGCTACCTCGCTAGGTACACCACATTACAAGAGCTCTTGATACTCTAACACATGCACTGACAGTGCTGTGGTTTACGTCAAGTCGATTTCGATAGATTGCCGTAATGATCACCAGACGAAACGCAAATTTCTTCCTTTTTAAGCCGGTTGCCGTGGACAATAACCCGTTCCTATTCACAGCACAAAAAATTGTAATACTTTGACTTTAATGAATATTCTCACTTTCGGTTCTTAGACTATTGGAGCTTCATCCAACGCAGAAGTAGTGGGTTAGCCAGAACAAGGCTTGATAAGGCTCTTCTCGTTTGGGTGGGGCCACGTCAAGTTTAATACTGTACTATAAATCACTCGCTGGCTGAGGAGAATTAAACGTGGAAGCAGGACACCACCTCTTGCGTGCGTTCCCCTATAAGTGTCACACTTACGTGTCTTCCCGCTAAGACTTATGCGACAGAGAATGCAACAGGCGCCGATCTGCTTCCACATTTCTTCCTTCCTCACGTGAAGCGAATGTTTGACCTTATCGAGTGCGATCCAAGCCGAGGTTGTAACATCCATCTGAGCGGCCCTTGGTGTCCCCTTTAGTGTCCTTCCGAAGCTGTCAAAGCCGGCTGTCAGCAAACTACTCTGTCACAAAAAATCCTTACTTCCTTACTAATATTATAAACGCGCAAGGTTGTTGTTGGATGTTTATTACCCTTTTACGCAAAAACTACTAAATAGATTTTAATAAAGCTTACACATCAGAATAACACATAGGCTATATAATTTGTAAAGATATGTGTGAATTGTTCAACGTATAGGTAATGATAAGTGTCCACTAAGTAGGAAAAAATTCAGCCATCTGCGAGATATTCTGGTGTACAATAAAAAAAAATTGTCAATTCCCTTTGGCCGCGCGTGTGAGGCCGCGGTTAACAGCTAGTGTTGTCGTTATAATCGTAACTCGCGCAGGCAACGCTACGCGCAGCTGCGAGAGAGCGCGGTGCGCGTGCAGGCGTGGTGGCGCGGGCGGCGCGAGCGCAGGCGCTACTTGCGCGCGCGGCGCGGCGTGGTGCGCGCGCAGGCGCTGGTGCGCGCGCGCCGCGCGCGGCGGCGGGCCGATGCGCTGCGCGGCCAGCGCGACGCGCAGCGGCGCAGGCAGGAGGCGCAGCAGGCGGCCGCCAAGTAAGCGGATCGCCGCCTTACCGCTTTGCGTTACGGGTCATATTCCCATGGTGTAGGTGATCAAGGCCGGTGCTGATGGGCAAGTGCTAAGCGTGCTGATAGCCGCCTTACTGCTTTGCGTTACGGTCCATATTCCAATGACGTACGTTATCGAGGCCGGTGCTGATAGGCAAATGGCCAAGTAGACTTGTTTCAATGGGGAACAAATGACAGCGCATCATACTATTTTGCCCAGAGTTTCCAAGCAAGGGTAGTTGTTTCTGCGAAAGAAACTGAATGATTTTTACATATAAATTAGTTAGGTTACATTCGTACTTTTTTCTAATTTCTATTTTAATATCGAATTCGTTTTAACGGTCTATTATCTAATAGAAGTATCATTTCAGGAGACGTGCAGCTGAACAGAAGGCGAAGGCAGAGAGCTTACAGGTGTTGGAAGTGCCCGCTGAGCTGGCATTCATCCTGTCGAAGATTGACGATTGGCAACCGCCGCACACCGAAAAGAACATCACTAAGGTATGTAATATATTCATGTGATAATGAACTTTCTTTTGATTAAATTTTATTTTTTGTGTGTATTTAAAACTGTCCCAATGTCCACATGAACGCAGTGTTACCAGGCGCGGATTTAGGTATTAAGATATATATATAAGGATAAGGAAAATTAATAGTGTAACCCGCGTGAAATTTAGGTCCTTGCAATACAGGATAATGTCATCTACGGTAAGGGCAATGTTTAAAAACAAAAAAATAATAAAAAGAACCAACTCCACAGGTGACTGGTGACGTTTACGCCGAGGAGGAGCGGATTCAGCTGCCGAAAGACCTGCAGCAGTTCGCGTTCTCGAAGTTCAGCTCGGTATACTTCGCAGACGGGGGTCAGCTCAGTCCCAAGAAGCACCCCATCACCAAGCCTTTCCTGTCCAAAGCGGCTGTTAGGTTAGCACGGTTGCATTTATTACTGCGGTTCCCGACGCTTGAAATGAGCAAACAAAATTGTCGCACAATTTTTTTTCGTCGCTTTGGCAGGCTATAATCCTAGATTCGAACCTGCGGCAAACGCTAACCACTAAGCCAAGCGGTCGTATTTCTAGCAATGCCCGGTGTCATCCAATGTGCTTTATAGCAGACACGCTTTATTAAGTTTAAAAAAATTGCGACAGTTTTATCTAAACCTTTTAAGTTTCAAGTGCACTGAAATTAAAAATACCCTTTATAAAACTTAATCATCAAATTTCAAGTAAATTTGTATAATCCTCTTGAACTCTACCTATATGTAATTACTAAGCACTGCGCCAACGGAACTATCAACGTCAAGTATTAAATAAATATAAAACATTCAATGTTTTTCGTTTATGCTAATGTCCCATAAATTGTTTTAAAATCTTTAATTTATTTGTTTAAACTGCAGCTGCTATACAAAAATACACATAATAATCAAATACTCACGAGTTAAATACATGTAAATGCTTGTCTTCCACGGTTGAAGCTAAAAACAATAACTTTGATTGAATTACTAACTATATATTTCTTTCAATTTCAGGGACCAAGACTTTAACGACGCAATCGCTATTTTCAAACTGATCTTGAGATGGTGCGACGAGTCCACAGCCGGGGATGAAGCGAGACAAAAGGTAAGTTGTTGTACAAATACATTTTTGAAACCCATAAAGTTGAATGTTTCGAAGATATGGTGGGGTCGCGTGGTGAACTATGCCCTGATACCCTCTGTACAGAGGAGGTCTTTGCCCAGCGGTGGGACATGTAAAGGCTATTACTTTATTTTTTTTAGGAAATAATCGATATCACATAATTAAATAATAATAAACACTAAGGTAAAAAAGGTCATGTAACTAGAATGATGAAGACTCAGTGGTGCAGTTTTTGAGCTATTGGTTTCTGTGCGTCATGGGTACGATTTCCATATGCGACCAGTATTTGTGAGAAGCAGAGCAAATTTTCCTATTTAATATTTTATTCCTTACCAAGAAGAGGATGTGAGGCAGGCGGCCGGTCGTACGAACAACTAAAACACAAGTATTGTTAGAATTAATAATATATGTAGGAGAAAAGATGAGCGCAGAAAAGGAGTGATAGATAATGGCAGCTTATGATACGTATGTATGACATGAATTAATGGATTGTAATGACTTCTAGATGAAAATTCATCACCACTCTCCATTAATACTTACACGTACTACCCAGGCAGAGGTAGTTGCAGTTCTGTGATGATGTATGTATAGTTTCCCAGCTCTCTCGCACGTCTGAGATCCGTACGTCCGTAGGTGCTGGCGGACTACATCGCCTCGCGCGGCATGGCCTCGCGCGGCCTCCGGGACGAGATCCTGGTGCAGCTGTGCAACCAGGCGGGGGGCGAGGCCTCCGCGCGCGTGTGGGCCCTGGCCGCCCACTGCCTAGCCGCCTTCCAGCCGGGCCCGGCGCTGCACAAGTGAGCGACCGGCATTTGCGTTTTGACTGCGGTAGGGCCACGCAACTGTTTCGGATGTCGCACGAAGGGGCAGGTCCGTGCGGGTAAATAACACGACATCACGTTTGGTCCGGTGAGCGAGGTAGCCGGGTCGCGTTTTATTAAAATGTGGTAACGCATCTGCAAATCTTTTTATTTTATAAAAAATATCGATTCATCGATATTATATAGATATAAAATATTCAACATCGAAATCGTATCAAAAACCATATGATGTCAAATTCGAATCCGGGACAGAGATTCAAATGTTTAGTACTTGTAAGCCAAGTACTAAACATTTGAATCTCTGTCCCGCTTATTTTTTTTTTTTTTGACTACAGGACCCAAAAAGAATGTATCGATAAATATATTTTTTCACTTTCGGCATCCCTAATATAATATGTGTTGAGCGATGCAACGAAACGATGACGTTAATGACGAACAGACACCCGGTCTGGAACGGGTCGAAATGACGACGTTGAAGAACAGTCGCCCAGTCTCGAACGGGTCGAAATGACGATGTTGACGAACAGTCGCCCGGTCTCGAACGGGTCGAAATGGCGAAACGACGATGTTGACGAACAGATACCTGGTGCGGCTGATCTCCGAGTCGGCGGGCGGGCGGCAGCGCGCGCGGCTGCTGCGGCTCGCGTGCGGCGCCGAGGCGGCGGCGGCGCGCGCCAGCGGCGTGCCCAGGCGCGCGCCGCCCACCGCGCTCGAGTGGCGCGCCGCGGACGCCGCCCGGCCCGCGCTGCCGCTGCGCCTCTACGACGGTACGGCGGCCGTTTTATATATACGCATATTATATTATAATTACATTGTTTTTAATCTGTGTTTTAGTATTTGTTGTTATAGCGCAACAGACATATATCTGTGAAAGTTTCAACTGTCTAGCTATCACGGTCCATGAGATACAGCCTCGTGACAGGCGGACAGACGGACAACGGAGTCTTAGTAATAGGGCTCCCGTTTTACCCTGTGGGTATGGAACCCTAAAAAGTAGAAAAAAAATTAAGTGGGGCTCCCAAACATGATTTTTTTGTCGTTTTTTAGATGGTACGGGACTCCGACCCGCACTTGGCCGGTTATTATCTAGTGACAGAAAGATTATGTACATAATGGATCGACTATTGGTCTGAATAAGTTAGGTACTGAATAATAACGTAAACGAATAAATAACCTCTCGCAGACACTGTGACCCACGTGTGCGTGGACGCGTGGACGACGTGCGAGCGCGCCGCCGCCGCCGCCTTGGCGGCTGCCGGTCACCAGCGGGGCCTCACCGGCTGGTCGCTCACCATGGAGCACAACGGCCAACTCACCGGTGAATGGTTTTCATTTGTCTTATTATTGATATAAGTTTCGACATCTTTGGTTTGTAAGATTTTTGTTTATTTTGTTCAGCTTTCATGAAGTTTTTTTTTTTTAGCTTTGTGAATCTATCGCTGAGTGGAAACCTTTTAGGTGCATGATATTATATTATTTAACATTTAAGATTGTTTTCTTATTTTTAAAGAAATTATTGTATTCGTGTACCAAATAAATATTTTTTTTCTTTGTTTCTTTCTTTGTTATAACGGTGGCAAAAAGTCCAATCCAATCCAATTAAAATGAATTGTATATTCATCATCATCGCCATCATATACTTTGTTATCATCAGTGAATTTTTTGGTCACATCAGTGAAATTTTTGGGACGGGCAGTCCCTAACATGTGGCCGCCCTAGGCCCGGGCCTACTGGGCTTTAACTATATACCCGTCCCTTACGGCACATCTGGTTGTCCCGTCTGTCGCGTATGCTCACCGCATTTGTGCCGGAGCAGAGTGGGCCGGCTGCGAGTACGCGCTGGACGCCGTGGGCGAGGTGGAGACGTGGCCGGCGCTGGGCGCGGGCCGCGTCGAGCCGCTGCGCTCGAGTTCGCGCCTCGCCCCGCCCGCGCCCCCGCCACGCGCCTCCTCCGTCGACGCAGAGCGGCCCGCGCGCCCGCAGGTACGCACTTTCGACCTTACGCCTCTCGGTATACGGTTCAAATTCGCGAATTTTCAATAGTTTTTAGGAAGATTTAAATTGCGCTCTAAAGGAAATTTATCTTTTATTTTCTATTCGGCTACCTGTGAGCGTTAGGTTGTAATTGTTTTTTTTAAATCAAAATCCAATTCGAACATTGTTCTACTCTGAGCAAGATTCAAATGCATTGAAAATTATTCATTCAATTGCTTTGGAAAACGTAAGGAATATTAAAGTTGCGTTGCAATTTGTAAATAAAATTAATAAAGTAATTCATTTCTGTAATAAAAAATAAGCCAGCTTAGTAAGCTGAAGTGGCAATGGATCAGCCCTATAGCTCGAAGAACCGATAATCGATAAGGGAAAAAGGTTCTCGAGTGGAGGCCTCTTATTGGTCGTCATAATGAAATGATGACGATGAATAAAATCTAAATATGTTTCTAAGAATTCCGTATTTAAGTAAGTATCAAATTCAATTTAAATTATTTTCAGGTACCGCCACCTGAGCCGCCGAAATCACGCTCGCCCAGCATGCCGCGCATGCTCGAAGACTCGATGGACGAGGGGATGTCCGAATACAACTGGAAGATGGAGCAAGAAGACACCCGCACCATGAACAAGCACTCTAGCGACTACTCCAGGAAGATATCGCACGACATACTGTCGCGGGAGTCCGCGCTGAACGAGCGCTACTTCGAGCAGCCGTCGGACAAGGTGCGCAGCAGGTCGCTCGACAACCTGCTGGGCGACAACCCTGCGCCGCAGCCGTCGAAGCTGGCCGACCTAGGGCTGTCGCAGTCGCGGCTGAACGAGCGCTACCACTCGGTCGAGCGGCTGGGCGGGTCGGGTGGGGGGGGCGCGGGCAGGGGCGAGCCGGAGTACGGCACCGGCTCCCGGGCGGCGCCGTCGCGCTACATCAAGTCGCAGTACGCGGGCAAGCGCGCGCCCGCCGGCTCGCAGTCCAGCCGCGCCTACATCGAGAAGAGCTCCGAATTCGGGGGCGTCAGGTACGCCACGTGACCCGCTTTTCTATTTGAGAAGGTGGCGAGCTAGCTGGCGGTTCGCCCGATCTTAAGTGCTGACCACCGCCCATGGACATTTGCAATACCCGTAGGCTTGCAGAAGCGTTGCTACCCCACTCACCAGGCGATATATTTATGTTTATGTTTTTCCTCAAACGCCTTAAAGAGGAATAAAAAAGGACGAACTTCATGCCCAATTAGCATTGTCGGAAGATTGATTCAATTAATATAAATGAGCCAAATAACTTGGTAACATTTATATTAATTGAATCAATCTTCCGAGAACTGTATATAATATACAAATTAACTTATTCTATGTGTGTTAGTTACATTAAAAAGTATATTTTTTTATTTAAAAATTAATACTTTTATAATGTCAATGATCCATAAAAAAATGTCCAACCCGTAGGTCGTCTGCGATGTCGGACACGTCCGAAGCGCCCAGCCTGGCGTCGCACGTGCGCCGCGTGCGCGTGCCCAGCCAGGCGTCCGACGTGGACCAGTTCCTGGACGACCTGTTCTCGCCCGTCCTGGACCCCAACATCGACGAGATGTCCGACGCGCGTTCCCTCGCCGCCAGCATCAAGGGCGGCGCGAGGTACGACGAGTTCGTGGACGGCGTCCTCAGCTGCGACTACACCGAGCGGATGGACACGCTGAGCAGCGCCCGACACGTCGCCCGCTCGCTCAAGGGCGGCGGGAAGGAGGAGAAGGGAAAAGCGAGCAGGAAAGAGTCGAGCGTCGACTCGGTGGACGATTACATAACGAACCTCTTCGATCCGATATTCATGAATGACAGTTTAAAGAGACTGACCGACGGCGAGGGTCTGTCGGGTGCCATAAAGGGCGGCGGCGCGACCCCCAGAGCCGCGACAGCTTCCGCTTCGGCTTTGAGTTACGGCGCGCTATCTCTGCCGCCGTCCATGCCGGCCATGCCGGCGACTCCTGAAGCGTTGGCGGCTGCGTTGGGCCTCCACCTACCACCGCCCGGCACTGTTGACATCAACGCGTACCACCAAAACCTACAGCGCGCCTTCCTGCAGAACGCAATGGCGCAAAACCTACAGATCCAGCAGCAACTGCTGGCCCAAAACCAAGCCTTGCAGACGCTGCTGGCCGGCCAAGTCGCGGAACCGACCGATTCATTGCCCACCTCGCCGGTTAGATCCTCGACCGTCGTCACCGCCCAAGTACACTCGCCGCCTCGAAACGCGGTCAAGGCCAGGCGCGAGTCTAACGAGAGCTCCTCCACTGGGGCGCCTCCCCCTCCCCCTCCGCCGATGCCCCCGCCGCTGCACGACGTGGACCCGTCGGAGGTTCGACCATTCCTAGACCCTTACGGGCGAGCGAAGACCGTTCGCATCGGCAAGTGGCGGTGGCCGCCCCCGAAGGACGCGGTGGGTGGTCAGGAGTCACCGCAGGACTTTACGAAGTTCAAGATGCGCCAGATCCAGAGGCGGCATACCCCTCAGGCGCAGACGAACGGCTTGGAGCACGAGCCGCCGCGCGGCAGATCGCGCTCGGAGGCGTCCCCGAACATTGAGTGGGAGGAGTTCGAAGTCGACGGCCGAAATATTTCCCCGAGCCGGGAACCGCCGTCGCAGCGTACTGCCAGGCGGAGCTTCGAGATCGGCGCGCAGAGGCCTTCGCCCGGCAGCGTGGGCAAGTTGAAACTCAGCTCTGAGATGCGGCAGAGGCTCGAACGGGTCACCGCCAACCACTCGGTCCGGAGCTCGTCCTCCGCGGCGGAGACTCCGCGCACCATCAACAAGCTGGAGGATACGAGGAAGCTAATGCTGGAGCGTCAGTTGGGCGGGGGGCGATGGGACGCCCCTCCCCCGCCGGTGCCCCCCGCGCCGCCGGGGCCTGCGCCGCCGCCGCCGATGTCCCCTCCCACTCCCCCCGACCGGCCCGCACCGCCCCCCCCGGTGCCCGACACGTCGTTCGCCCAACTACGCCGCGACAGAGACACCTTCGGAGTGCACCAGAACAGAGAGGCCGACGACCGGAACGCGTTCTTGGCCAACTGGAGCTCGCGCAGGAAGGAGGAGAACGAGTCGGGCCACGGCGACGACCTGGCCTCCCGTTTCCTGACCTCCGACCGGCGCGAGAGGCGAATGAACGACTGGGGCGACGAGTCCGTCGGGCGAGGCTTCAGCGAGGAGAGGCAGCAGCACGGCCGCGACGAGTGGGACTCCGAGTCGGGCCTGGACACGACCGACAGGCGCGACGCCCGCGACGGCTACTCGGGCCGCGAGCCCTCCGAGATATACGAGCTGCACCCTACGAGGAGCGAGAGGCGGAAGGAGGAGGACATGGCGAACACGTTCGAGCGCAAACGCTCCTCGTCATACTTCGACGAGTTCGAGCGCTTCGACGGGCGGAAGAACTCGCGCGACATGCTCGTCGGCAGGGCGAGGGACAGCCCGCGCTCCGACGTGACATTCCCGCCGGAGGGCAGCGAAGCGTCCAAGCGCCACGAGCGCGCCACCTTCAAGACTCACATGGCGCAGAAGGAGAGGGACAGGAAGCTAGAGGCGGAACGGAGGCAATCCGTGTCCACCCACGCCACCGATAGGACGGAACATATTGAACGTGAGTAGAGAATTGATATTATTAAATACAATATGTTTCAAATAAGAATGTTTGGAGCCGCGCCACTGTGACGTCATAGCTGTCAATTCTAAAATAGGCAGGATCAGTGAAATAGATACTTTTAAATTAATATTTATTTTTAATGCGCTCATCACACTGATTAAACAGTCCTAATGTACTAAATCTTATTTGTTGCGAGGATTTGGATATGTCAAATAGAGAAGACGTTTCGAAATTAACAATGCAGGCAAAAGGTAAACGCATTCCGATTTCTGTGTGATCGTGGCAATCAAGTTTTTGGAATCATACCTAGTACAAATGCTCTTAAAATCACATTTTATCATATTTAATGCTCCTTTTAACTTCCCGACTTCATACTGTTTCTCACTGTGAAATTATGTTTGAGTCGTTGAAAGTGAAACACGTTTATTGTAACAGATAACAAGTTTACGTACTTTAAAAAAAACTGTGAGTCAGTTTTTTAAAAACTCAAAATATTCCAAATGGAATAACTTTTTGAAGCCATTTTTGTGTTGTATTAAATATAAGGTAATTTCAGGTGATGTCCCGGCACCGGCTGCTTTACTGCCATCAGATCGAATGTTCCTTACATACACTCGAGTGCCATGGAAACTGCGTGTGCGCAAAGAGGTCTTCACGCCCGTTGAAACCTACAACGATCCCGCCATCTTGGATTTACTCTATGCTCAAGTAAGGGATTATTTTTGTCTGTCGTCGCACAACTGGAATATTATTGGCACTGGGCGTTGCTTAGTGAAAATTTTATAAGCAAGTTAATTTACCAATAAATGTAATCAGCAATGCCTTTTTTTGAATGAGTAATTGCCATCAAAAATTAAATTATAGCTTTAAAATTTCAAATCAAAGAAATAGATTTATTCAACATAAAATATCTTTCAAAATATAGCCACAGCACGGGCAATTCTTACAGGGGTTGTTGTAACATTGGTAAAACTGAAAAGAGATTCTGCTGATATACAGGTTTTGCAATTCTGGATTGAGTTGAATCAAATACAGCTACTTTGCCGCAAAAAAATGGTCATATAATTAAATACCGACAAATACTACACTACTACTATGAAAAAAAAAAACTAGTCAAATGATCGTGTACAATCGTGTACACCTGTGTATTTGCCGAAAAGCAATAGTCATATGATCGGGTATAGTCGAATTCACCATCACCGCCAGTAATCACTGGTCATACTTTCGAGTACAGTCGAGTACATCTGTACTTTGCCAAAAACACTGGCCATAATATGCTTAAGTACAGTCGAGTACACCTATGCTTTGCCGAAAAACACTGATCAAATCATCAAGTACAATCGAGTACGACTAACTGCACTTGCCGAAAATCACTAGTCATCCTTTCGAGTACAGCCGAGTACAACCGGCCGAAAAACGTTCAAATGATCGAGTACAGTCCCGATTCCGCGCGCCGCGGTACCGTCGCGCTCAACCTCACCCTCCGGCAGGTGGTGAGCGACATAACGTCGGGCGCGCCATCGCTGCGCATGAGCGCGGCCGAGCGGCGCGCCGGCCAGGGCTGGCTGCGCGCGCAGGGCGGCGGGCCCGCGCGCGCCCAGGCCAAGCGCGCCTGCGTCGAGATGGCGCGCAACTGGCCCTTCTACTTCGCGCGCCTCTTCGCCGCGCGCCTGCCGCCCGGCGAGGGCGCCGTGCTGGCGGTCTCGCACGCGGCCGTCTTCGTCGGCATCAAGGGTGAGAATCAGTTTCCAGTATACAACAGTAGTCCTTGGTGAGAATGCCTCAGCGTGTCGACATCCCTCGAAGTAATATTTTTAATTTTATCTATGAAAGTATCGATATATCGATATTTTCGCTTCAATATAGAGGTCGATATTGATATTTTAATAAATCTCGATATATTATATCGATATATTTCTTCCCTTTAATTAATTCTTATCAGCGCATCGAATGCGAGCTTGAGTAATTAATTGAGATGATAAATAATTGATGGTAAAACATCAATCAAGCTTGAGTAATTGATGCTAAATTGATTGAGATGCATTCCCGTCCTTATTTGGAAAACACCGTTATCGCAATGATTTGAGCATGTAGTTTATTTTAATCATTAAATTTGATGAGGAAATATCGAAGTTATTGCGTGCGGCCAAAAACATCTTAGACAAATTATAAACGTGCCCAAATCTCCAAGCCCTAAAAATATTCAGCCACATTACTTCTCGAGTCACCAACACTACGTATTCCCAGAGCCCGGAAGTTAAAACGTACCGACAAAAAAGCTACTTTGAGAAATAGTATACAGGGATTTATTCGTATATTCCAAGGATCTCCAAGCCCCGAAGGTAATGGAGCCATGAACAAATTCAAATATCCTTATTCAATAGAGAGACATTACACTTATTGATTGTCACAATACTACTACCGGATCGGAAAATAAAAGCCACTGATTTTAGCAGAACCGGAGAAAGACACGCAACTTTTGTACCATTTTCTTCGAATCCACTTCCCGAGGCCACGCAACGATTAGGCAGTTCCGTCCGGGGAAGTACCGAATACGAAGACCTGCGTGAAGTGGAAGTATTAGTGAGGTAGCCAATGGCGGGGCGCACTTTATCAAAAGGTGGCAACGCGTCCGCAACCATACGGCTGTTGCAAATGTCCATGGTCGGCGACTATCACTTACTCGCTTGCCACCCTTCACCAACGCAGCGTGTTAACAGGGCCAGCGGGACTAGCGGTGCGGCGCACGCTGTCCCTGAGCGGGCTCCGCGCCTCCGCCCCCGCCCCTGGCACGCTGCAGCTGACCCCCGCGCGGGAGGCGCCCCTCACGCTGCACGCGCCCCTCGCCCACCACGCGCACTCGCTCATCGCCGAATTCGCCCTCCAATACTCACAGGTACGTAACGATTAGCGAACCGCCCCCTTTACCTCGCTCTTTCATCTTAATTAACCGACTCCGAAAAAGAGGAGGCTATCAATTCGGATGTTTATAATGTTTTTTTAAACCGACTTCAAAAACGATGACGTTCTCAAATCGACTATTAATATACAGCGTGTCGTTACCATCGCGACAATAAATGAACACACATCTAACGCTACTTGCCAATAATCATAAAAAAATATTAACGTTAAACAAAATCCATAATTTAAAAAAAAATATTTTTCAATCAAACTAATTAACTAAAAAAGTTACAAAATTTGTAACACCTATACAACTCCCGCCACAGCGTCGTATTACAAGCCTCTCCTTCTAACAGTATGTTTTGTCTCTTTTAAGTTCATTCAACCCATTCGTATGCTTTGTGACCTTTACAAATGAACTTTACGTTACGCTTTTATAGGTAAGGGTGTTCTAAAATTCTTTGTTTTGAAAAATTTAATAACTCTGTAAATATTGATGTTTAAAAAATTTAAATGTTTAATACAACTTTAAAAAGTTATGCCCTATATGTGTGTTCATTTATTGTCGCGATGGTAACGACACGCTGTATATGTATGAATAAGTTTATTACCCTAGAAGTTTCGACTGAGTAAACCGATTTTAATGATTCTTTTTTTATTTGAAAGCTGGTGCTTCCAATGTTTTCCTGTATCAATATCATTGTTATTAGATCTTGGGCTCTGGAGGGTTCGTTAAAAATTTATGTACTTTCGGGCAATAACTCTCATTTGCAAAAAACCTAGCCAAAACCACTTACGACATGATTCTCACGTTGTGCCTACCCCACCAAGGTGGGATAAGGGCAGGAGGATGATGATGATGATCGGAATTGCTGCCATGATAGCTCAGTGACCTGTCGCTCGCTTTTAATTCAAAACACTTGAGCAACCTGAGTTCAAACCCCGGTGCCGGTGTTATCACCTAAGTTGGAAAAAGAATCGCTTCTTTAATTTCTTCAGGTATTATATTTTTTTTTTTTTATATGAAGAAGATTTTAGAAAATTTACATGAAATCAAATAGAATAGTCATGATAGTCTATCTAGTTTGGAATGGAGGGATTACTCATGTTTCGCCCACATTCGAGTAAAAATACTACAAATATCTTTCAGTCAAATACCTTTATGGAACGGAATTATCTTTCTTCAACATGTCTCATTAGTCAGTCTTAACCTGTTAAGTGTAGGTAATTATGTTATTGTATGTACATAACTTATATACGTACATTTTGAGGACGGAAGTGAATAACAGTCAAATATGAAATGTACACGAAAACCACAACTTATTAACATTTTCTGTCCGATATTAATAAAGGTTTGAAATTATTTATTTTATAAATTACGAATAACTAAAGTAATAAATATAGCAAGGAAACTTTTTATATGGCGATATTAAAGTATTGAACAAGTAAAACACAATGTGTTTTAAATTAACATACGCCACAAAAGAAGCCCCAATACAAACCACTAATTCACTTGTGATTACGTCTGCGAGATTATCCAAACGAAAGGTTTGTTAAGTCATCGAGATTCTCGACATGAAATAGTAACAAGCCGCGGTTATTTTCGACATTGAATAATTACCTCTACACATCTTATCAATAAAGATCACTTTAAAATAAATACCGTTGGATTGTTCGAGGTCTACTATTTAAATCTATGTGCCAGTGACATACATGATTCGGCATTAAACAAGTAAAAACTTCACACATTTCAAAATAAACATAAAGTCGTTTCCTACTTCCGAAGTTGCACAATTCAATTTTTAGAATGATTTATGTAACAAAATATCACGATTGGGTCGAGCCTTTTGAGTTGTCGTTTTTTTTTTACGTTTATTAATTCTTAAGACGTTATAATGGCACCGTCGCTAAGCTATTGCATTCGGCCATCGGGGGTCGTGGGTTCGATTCCCACAAGGGTCAAGTATTTATTTGACCCACATAATGATTCCGGGTCTACGATCTGTTTGTTTCCCAAGGAGGGTTGACGTCAGGCAGTCAGTAATTTGCCAAAACCGCTTACAAAATGATATATATGTTGTGCTGACCCCAAATAGGTGGGATATGAGCAGGAGGATTAAGAAACATTTTTTAACCATTCCTTTCAACAACCTTTTACATTTATAGGTATATTACTAAATGCTTTTGCTTATTCTTAGAAGAAAAAAGCACAAGTCATGTAGTTTCTTGCAGATTGAAATCACTTTAAAGATAGGTTCATAAGATGTGAATATAGCAGTGACTTCGTATAAAAAGCTAATGAGGTATTATTTTACTCCTAACGAACCTCGTTTTTGACGGCACTGGCAAGCAATTTTCACAACTTCTAATTCTTAAACCTTGTTCTACGGGCCGTTTTAAAGAAGACCGCAGAGTTTCTTGACGGTACTTCTCTGGACAGGTCCAAATTAGTGAACCAGTGGTAATTTTTTTAAAACTAAGAGTTTAAAACAAGCCTTTATTCAAGAAAAAAATTTTGACTTTGTTTTATTTTATGGACTACAGACGTTTATTTATTTTATTAAAACGGACTTAATGCCATCAGCATCATCTCCCGGTCAACGTTCTATGGAGTAAAGTTCCGTTTTAGTAATTGACTATTTTATATCAGGACTTAGCCGCCAAAAGCTGAGGTGTATAATTGTTTCCAGCCAATCTATAGAACCCGCAGTATATTGTCAATGAACTATTGTGTGCTCCGTATGTCATGAAACTTCTATTGAAGTGATGTTAGTGCTAATCTGCCGTGTATCACACTCCTTTACAATTTTTGTCTTCGTAATATATGTGTGTGGTAGGAAAGCGTATATTAATAAAACTTATACACGAATATTTGTGACTTTGATATTAATAAAAGAATTGTAGAATAATCGCGTAAAAGTTGTACTGTTGCTTATGAATTATAAATGACACAAACATTTGTGCTCTACCATGGTATGAAATTGTCTGAAAACTATTAAAAACAGAAGACGTAGTTAAAATATGTAGAAAAAGTACGAAAAGATTGTCGCCGCTGTGGGAATCGAACCCACGTCTTCGGCATTCGCGGCCTGGCGCTCTTGACATTGAGCTAAACGGCTGATTGCCTCACCGAAGAAAATCTTAACGTCTTTTATCTACATTGTTTCTTAGCATTTGAAACAATGCTTGGCGTATCCATTGTTATATCCTTTACAGCATACAAACAATTTCGGATATCGTTTTACAACGATAATTCGAACGAGAGATGTCGCCATTGCTTTTTTTAGAAGTTTAAATTTTTAAAGCGCTAATCTCTGCACTTAAGATTGATCATTAAAATATGTAGGAAAAGTACGAAAAGAATAATATTAGAAGACGTAGTTTCTAACTACACTAATAGTTTTCTTGATACATGTGTGGCTTATGGCAGTTACTATGACTGTGGCATGTGACTAGAAGAGTGATGAATATGAATGTGGTTGGAGGGTGCAAAGCTAGAGGAAGACCGAGAAAGAAGTGGTTGGAAAGAAGCATTATTATGTCTGAATAGGTCAGTATTGAGATGACGGCTGATAGAGAGTGGAATTGAGTGGAAGGAAATTGCTTACTAGTGCTAAACGTTGTGCCGACCCCACCTAGAGTGTGGGATAGGGCAGGGGAAAAAAGAAGAAGAAGCGGCTTATGGCATTAGGGACGCCGCCCTGAGGTATACGCACATTATATATAACATTTGCATTGCTTATCGTATACACTGGTGTTTTATACTTTCATCAATGTTTACTTATAATCCTGAGTCTAATGCCTTCAGAGAGTCCAAGAAATGAGTGAAAATTAAATGACACAAAATCCGTAAAAAATTATTCCATAAGCGTGACGGTAGTGCATAACGCATTCACAATGATTTTATAATTTATTCAATCTCATATTCGGAGTGTCTTCCTTTCGCTAGCAGTACTTCTTACGATGTTAGTATTTAAGTATTTCGCCGTCTGTCGATTATGCCATTAACTCGTGCAACTTAATGTTAAGTTACGCAACTTTGAACGGCGAGATTTTATTGACTTTCTTATAATATCGATCGAAAAGGATACAGTTAATGAAAGTTTTTGATTGCTCAAAAGCTTCATTAAACGGTTAATATCAACTCGGCGACTTTAATCGTGTTATTTTTTAAATGATTTGTCCGCCCTTACAGCTTTAGTGTTCAAAATAGCTGAGATGCGTTCAGAATCATCAGAATGATCTTTTTAATGATCAGAATGATCAATTCAAAGAGTTTAACCATCCTTTTGGCAACTCAAATAACATGTGAAAAGCCATTTGACAGCTGATTAGTTGACTTCTACGATGGTCACTGTTTCAGAAACCGGGCGTAAGACTATTGATATCATCTGTTAAATGAATGCACTTTGATTTAAAATAAGATTTCTTGGATGTAGTAAGAACTACAACATTACTGTAAACAAGAACAAATGCGTTAAGTATGTTTCTTTACATAAAATTCTTAATAATTTACTGATTATCGTGATTAAGTGAATCACCCCCTCCATGCACATCTGCAACACCCGAGGGTTAGAAGATGCGTTGACAACCCTTAAAATAAGTGTGCCTGGTTTTACCTCACTCACCGAACGAATCGCGAAAGTATACTTCCACTTCGCGCCGGTCTTCTGTGAGGCCGTGGTACTTCCTCGCCTGCCCATTCATGCAACAGCTGAAACTGTTGCGTGGCACAACCACTAATGGTATATATATTGTAACTATATTCGTTGTCTTATAACTAGATAGTTTTATGATCATCATAAATTTTCATTAAGAAACTAGCGTCAAATATTGGCATGCGCTTCTGTTCTATCTCGCTAGGGCTGCCAACGTGGAAGTTTTATCGAAGCGTTTGATTTTAAAATGTTTATACTTATAACTTTGCGAGAGCATATGTGCATCTGTAGTTTAATGTGCAGAATGTTAAGACGCGGCTACGGCTGGAATTGACGTACCGCTAAGCTATCTTTATTATCGGGATTTAATGAAGTCCATAAACAATAATCAACCAAGAGATTACATCCAGAAATAGTATAAATAGAAATAGACCAGTGGTTTATAATCACATACGTAATAAAATACTCTAAAGAGATTTATCGAGCTAGTCACATGACGTAGGTTCTGCTTTCCGAATTGGCTGGTTCCTTCGAGTTATATATATATATATATATGAAGCATTTACATCGGTTTCGTCCGTCGTATGTGGTGAATCACTCACCACGAGGATTGCAGATTACGAACTCTGAAATACTTGAACTGTCGTTTATATTGTTTCGATCTAACTCGCTTAGTGGCAGCCCTAGAGGCTCCCGTTAAAGCATAAGGTGCCCGTTACGCTGACCGAGCAATGCTCAGTTCCGCTACAAAGCCGCACGAGCGACCGACGCGTAAACGCTTCCTGATTTTTTAACAAACACCAAGATTTTCCACCATCCCACCTATAAGCATGTGACTTGAGGTAGTGAAGTATCTTCAATATTAGCCTATTTACGGCTTAAGACATTTACTTTCTCAAAAGATTTAAGACACAGAGTAAATACAAAACTTACAGGACAATATGACCCAATTGGCGTAGTGGGTAGTGCCCCTGTCTCTTGCGCGAGAGGGTATAGGTTCGAGCCTCAGTCCAAGTACTGGAAAAATTGTGTGATAAACATAGTGTTTTACTCGTGTCTGGGTGTTCATATATGTATAATATTTATTTATTTACAAAAAAGTACGTTTAAGTATGTTTATCAGTTAACTTGTACACATAGTACGAACTTTGCTTTATTTAGGACTAAATAACGTTGTGTAAAATTATGTCGGGAAATATTTATTTATTAAACTAATGAAATGACCCGGCTTGTCGTAGTTGGGGGACTTACTACACAAATTTAAAAACAGGATACTAACTAAATGGAGAAATGAGATCTTTACAAAATCTTTTTACTAGCGGCTCCGTGGCTAGCTGTTCAGTAAGCCTATGTTAAATATAACCTTCTAAATTATAGTGTGCACGTAAACGCAACAACTGTATACTGTTGAGGAAATTGCTGCGAGCGACGCGCGTCCACCGTATGTCGTGTGTAAAATCGTCTCCGCGCGGTACGCGTCGTATCCTACAATTTTCTATCCGATCGCAACTGGTCTCAAGTGCAACGTTCACAAAGTTTATACGCCACAGAAGTTGGACCGCATGTCCTTTTCATGTGTCGATTAAAAAAAAAAAAAAGCCGCGCGCACCCATCCGGCGTTCGGTTGCGCGCGCGCGCAGTCCCCTCCGAGCCGCGGCCCCGCGCGCACGATGCAGCGGCCGCGCCTCACGCACGCGATGCGCGACAACTGGCGCCACCTGCAGCGCATGTACGGGCTGGAGCTGGAGCGCGGGGAGTCCCCGCCGCGGCGCGCGCCCAGCCTCGACTCGCTGATCAACTCCTCGGAGGCGTCCAGCGCGGACGCCTCCAACCCGGAGGACTCCGATTCGGGCGCGGACACGAGGGACCCGGAACCCCGTCCGCGGAAGCCCCCCAAGAAGTGCCCCCAGAGCCTCTCGTCCTCGTCCAGCGGCCACATGGAGACGATACACGAGGAGAGCTCGGAGCCCAAGGTGTCCGTGAAGGAGATCCTCGCGCGCTTCGAGAATTTGACTGAGAAGACGGACCTCCAGGTAGAGTTGGCGGCGATTATCCGTTCCCGTTTGATTCCCTTATCGATTGTGATCCAAGCCGAGGTTCGAACCTCCATCTGAGGGGCTTACCTGTCGTGCCCCCTCCCCGCTGCCTCTGTTAGTCGATTATCCATCTTTCCCGTTTGACGCATATTAACACGCGCCGAGAGCGTACCGATGATAGTTTGAGGTCTCTTTGTCTAAGTGGTAATACTATACTTAGGTATGGTGAATATAATTGAAATATCGCGTGCTCCTTTCGAATGGCTTAGGAAAACAATTGCCGCTTATCGCTGATGAATGGATTTACTTTCTTCGACAGCGACGGTGTCACGTGTGAGAGTGCCTCGCGTATTTTCTAAAGATCCGCTCGCTAATCCCCTAACGATTTTCTTCATCGATGCCATATTTTTTATCAAAAACAGATAAAAATTTACATACGGACATTATTCTTCTTTTACTAAACTTTATCACTGCACATTACATCAGAGTATAACGTAAAAAAAACTTAAACTTAGCATCTGTTTTCTGCGTTTTAAATAATCACAATATTTTAACATCAAACGCCTCATCTATATTTACATATCATATCATAGGAAATCTTTATAAAAAAGGTCTCCACATAAAATCAATGATTTATGTACCTTCTTTCATGGTTCATTCGCAGTATCATATTAAGTCATAATTAATGATTTTATAATTAAATGGCTAATAAATAAAATGGGGTTACAAGTTCCTTTAAAATATTGTTGACTAACAATAGCATTCGCGTAAAAATAGGAAATCGTTAGTTTAAAATATATGCAAATTAAACTGTAATTTTTGTTAATAAATTCGTCGGTTGAATCATCGATTCAACCTCGATGTGTCAACATTCAATAGTCAATCCATGACTGATAGCATCCCATGTGAGGAGTTATAAAAGGACCGTCCATTGAATTTGTGAACCGAGACTCTTTAGTGGTTGCAGTTTCAGATGGGGGACTCTATTACCTCAGTCGCTAGACTTAACGCAAACGCTAGCCGACTGCAAGACCGTAGTACTTCTTTGGCTCATCCGGGGAGGAACTACCATTGCATGCACGTAGAATTCATGAACAGAACCAGCTCTACCTCCGTCACAACTGGAATATGTAGTTAAACTATATTGGAAACGTCGGCAATGCTTTTGCAACTTTTCCATAAATAACACATTATATTTAATTCCCATCGTTTCGTGTGTCTGTTTTGTGTGTCTTCTGTTAAATCATCCGTGTTAGCCTATGAAATTAAAATTACAGATTATTACGCCACTAAATTAATGTCGATATTATTTGCGCGAATGTCATAACAGTGCTTGGGTTGGCTGAATTAAAATATCAACGTGTATGAACATCGTGTCGCTTACAAAGCGCATATTTATTTTTTTACTCGTCACTCGTGTTGACGCTTTCTCTATCATCGATCCACCATCAGTGTAATCGATCTATTCATGAATTACTCCGAAGCGAATGGGGAAGAACTATTACTGTACCCATTGTTAGACATTAGCGCTGGTAACACACGAAAAAGTCTATTGTCGATTCATTGTTGTGACGTGACGAATTAGTTTTTCCTAATTTTCATATTTATTGTTATGTAAAACATATGATGTTTACTATACATATAATAGTTAACTTTCATTTGTTTAACATAGAACTTACAAAAATAGTTACGTTTTTCGGTACCTAGTTACGATTCGGTAGCCATTAGTTTTCTTTCTTCGATTTATAGAACAGTCCATTAGAAGTTCTTCAAATCCTTTACACGAGCTTTCGATAATTTTATCACATGAATTCAGATCTTAAGCTTTAATTATTTGAATATTTATTGACATTGAGTCACGAGATTTATTTTTAAAGCATTTTATTAAGTAAATTCTTAAAAACATATCAAATTATAATAAAATTTATAGAAACAATATAAATTCTATTTGAAATTTGATGTACACGAAAAATACTCATATTCCTAATGAGCAAAGAAAATATTTTACGCAAAGTTGAATCGCAATAAAATTTTAACACAGCTGGAACATGATTTACTTTATGTAGAACGTTATATTCTAAAATGATGAAAGTTTAGAATTCATATTAAAGCCCACGCATCCACTCCTTTCCGATATTTACTGTTACTCCGTCATCTTTAGGTCCGTTGTCATGTGAAGTATTAGGAACAAACAATGTCGTCTGTAATCTACAACGGTTCGACATCACGATCCATATACAATAGACAATCTTTATATAAAAATATGTATAATTTTTTAATATATGTGAATATTATCTTTATATCGAAATTTAGCTTCCGTATGTTTGTGTCCACAAAACTCAAAAAACGTTCGGTGGATTGAATCGATATTTGTTCACAAAGTCACAACGCTATTGAACGGGAAAGCTTTGTTACAAATACACCTTTTAATCCGAAGATCCAACGGAAAAAAGCCACAGCGAATCTTGGCCGCAGGCTTTCAGTATAATCGTAAAAAGTTTTTAACATCATTATAGATTAGATGAAGTTTTTTAACGAAAACATTTAACCTCAATTTATTTATTTTATGTTATGTTATTTCTCGTTAATAGCGGAGAAAATTTTGACAAAGAAATAATAGATATATGGCGTGGGAGGCTCACCTTTGAAAAATAATGTATGATGTTCATAAAAAACATAATTTACATAGAACTAAAAGTTTTGCAGTAAATCGACTTTTAAGCAAATTTTCCGGGTGTGCGAATTTTTCGCAACACATCATGATCAATCACCGAATTGTAATTTATTTATTTGTAAAGAAATATTTATGAATGGAATATATCTATGTTGTAAGGTAATGGATTAAATAGATTTACTACGAAAAGTCATTATCATAATTTAATTAAAAAAAAATAATATATAGTATGATCCTGTTCTGCGTACTGTTTTTGTGTACAACAAATATATCTTCATGTATTATTTACGTATCCATAAAACATTATAGTTTACGTATCCATAAATCCCACCTATGATCAGCCGTGGAAATTTTGGCGGTTCTAGCCCCCACTAGTTACTTTGCCGTTAAAGTCTCGCATTCCTGTCGCATCGTAAGTAACCGCACGCGGCAATTATCCGACCTAGGCGCGAACGTGACCCCACCGGTCAAGGAGGACCGGTGCCTGCCTCGAGCACTCACAAATACCTATATACCTATGAATGGGTACGTACCTATCAAAGGGTACGGAGGCGGTCGTGCCTGACGAACTATTACGGGTGACTGCAGCCTGCTGCCACAGCTTGCGGCCTAAAATCGATAGGTACATTCCCTTTTTAACCGACTACAAAAACGGAGGAGATTCTCAATTATTTCTCAGGAACTTCTGAAAATCAATTATAAAATGAATACAGAGCGAGATATTTGATGTCGGTTTTGTATAAAGTGGTAAAAAAGCAATTCAATGCTCAATATTAAATACGTTTATTTTCCATCTGTAGGTTACAATTTTGTGGGTGATTAATAGCCTAGTAGATTACTATAGGCCGTACTGGGCTCTGACGAGTACAAAAAGGCAAATAAGTTTCACTGATAAAATTACGCTCAGGCAGAGATGGGCGAGTTTAAATATGCGGGGCCCCATTTCGCACGGGGACCGTACCAATTGCTACTCTTGCGACGTCATTACTGGCCACCGTTTAAGAAATTGACATATGATACATTGCCGATTCGGCGGGTAATAGGAATCCTACTACTAATTTAGCATTATAACCTACGCGGACAAAGTAAAACACAAAACAGTTTAAAAAATATCGTTCCATATTTATTGGTTCACTGCATCCATCCACAGACGTAAACATCAGATCACAGTAGGGTGAGAAGAGATCACACATTTCTTCATACTATTAAATATTTTAATAGCGTGGGTTGATAATATATAATAATATATAATATATATATAATTTGTTATCATGTAATTCCTAAGAGATACATTCAACTAGTCCAAAGATCTAAATAACAAATGATCTGTAAATATTAAAATTTCTAACTAAAAACTCTCGTTTGAAGATAATATAGGCGTTAGCACTTTAACACGATATAATTTTTATCGGGTAACAATTTTACTTAGGTACCTGTGATATTTAAAAAGACACATTTTACTTCATACACATGTATATATCAATAATAATGGTTGATTTGCATAAAACCCGGATACAAAAGTTGTTATTAACATTTTAGAATAGCCTGTCTTGCTACGGTTATACATAGCATGAAAAAGTACTTATGGATATTTTACATGCTACTTATAACCGACACAATGCTGTATTGTTGTTATTTATATTACATTATTTATTGTGATCTTGCGCATGACGAACGATTCAGGGTTATCGTTAGTTTATTGGAGAACGTAATATGTGTTTGATACGAACGGTACTGGCAAAAGTGAATTATATGATGTCGACGCGTGCTCATGGAAGCGAGCTAGGGAAAGTTAATGGTACTTGAATATGCATACTAATAACGTATAGCCGGCCACCCAACGATGTACCCGCCGTAATGACCAGCAGAATTGCCGACCATTACTGTTATTTTCAGCATTACAAGTGATTCAAGTGATTTCTATCCGTTGGAACTATTGTGCGGTACGGTTTTTTAATATTGTAGGACATCACTGAAGGACGCATCAGTGACCCTGCAATCTTAATCGATTTGTCGTGTTATGAAAATCTACGCTTAACACGTTGATTGAACTTCATTACATATCATGTTTAGAGTGCTTGAAACGCATCAACTTAACTAGCTGTCTATCTTAGCGCAGCAGGATCATAAAGTAATGAATTTTGACTGTGGTAGGGCCAGGCAGTAGAATCTGCTGTTGCAGGAATAGGTAGAAGTACCACGACCTCATGGAATACCGTCATGAAGTAGAAGTATACTTTCGTGTTTCGTCCGGTGAGTGAGGTAGCCGGAGCCCAATTTTTTGTAGGTTGGATGTGGTTGGATGTTGGTGTGTGGATGTGGT